ACGGGGGAGGAAGGGTGTTCTTTGAAGAACCAGTAGCATGAAAAACCTAGACACATCTAAAAACCTTTTGCACCAAAAACACTTTTAAAATAAACTTTGTTTCTTCTCCTTTATTTGTAATGTGGGAAGTTAAAGATCTTCCATTTACTAGCTCACTCCCCAAGTGCTCACAATGACTGGGGCTGGGCCATGTGGAAGCCAGAAATCGGTCCAGGTCTCCCATGTTGATGCTGGGGAAGCGCAGGGATGCAGCTACTTGGCACATCGCTCCTGCCTCCACTGGAGAACTGAAGGCTGGCCTAGGACCTAGGCACTCCAATATGGGATTACAGGCAGCTCAGTTTTGTCTTAAATGATGCAACAAATCACTAACCCCAAAACGCACTTACATCCTTTATTCAAGAGGTAGAGAGAGGAAACATGTTCCCATCCTTCTGGGTTTGGAGTCAGAGCTGGACTAGAAGTGAACCCCAGGCATTCTCTTATGGAACACAGGAGCTTTAACCCTAGGCCTAAAGCCCACCCTCCATGAACTATCTGAAGTTCATTCTTATGCAGTAGGAAACCTCTAAGTCTCAGAGATACTTGGATTTAGGTCTCACTACTTTTGTTAAAGTACGTTTAGAAATGGTAACAACTGACAAAACTCCAGAGGTCAGAGTCCTCTTCTAACGAACAGATCTGTGTGCAGATTTATGGCATAGTAACTACCTCCCCAAACGAGAAAGTGTGCCATAGCAAGAGGAGACCATACATGTGCACGATCTATGGCTGGGAACAGTCCCGGTTGGGGAGCTAAGGGGACACCCTAGCTGGGCTGAGATTCCCACTGAGGAGCACAGGGACTGGAATGGGGGCTGTGTTCTGATCTGGATATGGCTATAGTCTCCCTTGGCACAAGTGTGGACTGGGACTGGACACACCAAGCCGGGCTAGACTCCAACACCATCTGGTGCTCGGGAGGACCAGGGTAGATGTGGGATGGACTAGGCTAGGTCTCAGCCCCTACCGAGCCATGTGTGAGCTGTATGTGGGTATGGATGAGCCTTGGCTGGGCTGAAACATAAAACAGTAAGAACCAGAATGGGTTGAAGGCCAGTCAGGAAAGGCCACTGTTCCTGCTAGGACAGGAGGTGGACTGAGTAGGGCTGGCTCATGGACCCACTGGTATGTGCGAAATCTAGCATTGGGAGAGGTTCTGATGGAAAAGCCTGGGCAACTCCTCTGGCAGGACACAGACCCAGCAGGTAAGGGCAAGAAGCATTATAGGAAACAGCCCAGAACAGGCCATGGACAGTTACCCACTGGCATACATTTGGCACGGGTGGGGGCAGACCAGGCTGAACCAGTTCACGTCACCCACTAGCGAATCCGAGCACCAGGATAGAGTGTGGATCAAGCCAGGTTCAGTCGCGACAAAAACCAGTGCACATTATGGAATGAAAAGGTGAGGCGACCTGTACCAGAAGTGGCCGCAGTGCCAAACAGCACACGTGAGAATCAGGGAGGGAGGAGGCAAAGCCAGCAGCGGGAATGTGGGCTCCCCTACTGAACTACCACTTCCACTGGAGATTGTGGGTTGGGATGGGAGCAGACCAGGCCAGGCAGGGCTACAACACCTGTGGGCCTCATGTGAACTAGATCAGGGAAAAACCAGCTTGGACTGACTGTTCCAACTGGTATAAGCAAAAATCAGAGTGGGTGAGGGTTGGTTGGGCTTTGACGCAGCATCAGCTGACAGGGGCTGGCACTGGAGCCTAAATCTGTCAAGTTTAATTCCAGAACCAAGTGGAGAGAGCAAAATCTGGGAGTGGGAGTGGCCTAGAAGGGAAATAGTGGGCTCCTCCTTCTTGGGTTACCACTCCCACTGGAGAGCACGAAAACCAGGACAGGGACAGAGGTGGCTAGACATAAAGGCACCCAACAGCATGTACGTGGGCTGGATAGTGGAGCTGGTTAGGTTGACCTAGGCTTCAGTGTCCATTGACATATATGAGAGCTGAATGGGATGTGGAACAAACTGGAATAGTCTGTTGCACATACTGGCAATCATGGGAACCAGGGCAGGGGGCAGGCCTGGTGGGGTTATTGTGGGTCACTCCAACTAGGCTGCAGCTCTTACTGGTTTATGTGAGAGCTGAGTGTGCGCTGGGCAGAATCAGGCTGGACTGCAACACCCATTGGTTCCAGTGGAAGACAGGCTAGAAACAGAACTGACCCAGCAATTGCAACCACCAGCTGATTGGGGTGATGGACTGTACCAGGCCCTGTACTTGCAAGTACACACAAGAATCTGGTCTGGGATCACCTCAGACAAAGTTTCTTTTGGGATCTCCCAATCAAACTGCCGGACTCAAAACCCATGGTCTGCCACAGAATGCAAGTGCCAGAGCTGAACCTCCTCAGAGGCTCACATGGAGCAGTGGACAGCATAACCAGGTGCACATGGAGGATATAGCAGCCTATCAGAACCTGCAGAGGATACCTGGCATCACAACAGAGGACAGAACATCAACTACCCCAGCCATATGTTGGCAGTGAAAAACTAGGCAAATGAGACTCTAAGGTGGACTATGTCAATCAATGGATTCTGCAGCAACTTCATTGTGTTTGGAATGATGAGATTGACAGCAATTCATAACTTTTGAACTATCAAAACCAGTTGAGCAAGACCCTCAGGGACCCACATCAGGGACCTGGGATGGGTGGGAGATTGGGTGGAGCTTCTCCCTTTATTTCCTCTTTTACCCCAGATATAGAAAAAAAAATATGGAAATGATAGTCTTACCCACTTTCCTGTGCCCTTGAACTTTTTTTGCCCTAATTAACTATGTAAAGATTGTCAAAGATAAAAAAAAAAAAAAGAGGTGGCCACAGGCCGGTGCCACAGCTCAAGTGGCTAATCCTCACTTCACATGTGCTGGGTTCCCATATGGGCACTGTTCCTAATCCTGCTACTCCACTGCCAATCCAGCTCCCTGCTTGTGGCCTAGGAAAGTAGTTGAGGACAGTCCAAGGTGTTGGGACCCTGCACCCGCATGGGAGACCCGGAAGAAGCTACTGGCTCCTGAACTGGCTCAGTTCCAACTGTTGCAGCTATTTGGGAAGTTAACTAGTGGAAGGAAGATTTTTCTCTGTGTCCTGTTCTCTCTGTGAATCTGCCTTTCCAATAAAAATAAACAAATCAAGGCTACAAATCAAGAAAGGTAGCCAGGGAGCCTGCTTTACCCTTCACTTACACGTCTTCAAGATCTTCCACCAGCAGACAAAGTTCAAGGTTCCCAATGATGTTTTAAAAAAGAGATTATTATCATTAGTTTTTAATGATTAATCTGAAAGGCCGAATGACAGGGAGACCCAGAGCATGCTTCCGTCCGCTGGTTCACTTTTCACATGGTTGGGTCAGTTGGGATGGGCCAGGTTGAAGCCCGGCACCTGGAATGCCATCCAGGTCCCCCACCTGGGCGCAGAGCCCAAGCACTTGAGCCATCTTTTGCTGCTTCCCCAGGCACAGGAGCAGGGAGCTGGATCAGAAGCAGAACAGCCAGGATTTACACTGGCATTTCAGGTAATAGGGGAAGCTGGCAGTGGCTTAACCGGCTGCTCCACGCTAGCCTCCTCTACAACTCCCTAAAAGCTTCTGTGTCTAATTTTGGCTGGAGGTTAACACAGAAATAAACAGAAAGGGGCATGTGGGAGCCCAGCCTCTCTCTGATGGCCCATCTTCTCCCAGGCACACTGGTGCTCCTGGGGAGGCACCTGACAGTGGCATTAAGCCCATGCCACCTGCCCTGCCTGTGCCTTCCGGGACCCTTTGATGCTGGCAGGCAACTTCTGCTGCCAAGGAACCCTTGCTGTGAATTTACCAAGTTTCAAATCCTTCATTTGGGTATTAAGTGCTCCAACTATTTTTACATATTCTGTTTCATTTAATATTTCATTTTTAATTTTTAAAAGATTAACTTATTTATATGAAAGGCAGAATTAAGATCTTGCATCTGTGAGTTCACTCCCCCACATGGTCACAACAGCTAGGACTGAGGCTGAAGCCAGGAGTTTCATTCGAGTCTCCCACGTGGTTGCAGGGACCCAAGCACTTGGATCATCTGCTGCTGCTTTCCCAGGCATGTTAACAGGGAGCTGGATCAGAGTGGGGCAGCTGGGACTCCCACTGGTGCCCACATAGCAGGAAGTGGCTAGCCCCTTGTAATTCCACCGACTGTCAGCCCATGACTTTACCCACTTTAAAATTTTTTAGTGTGTGACTTTCCTTGGAAAAGGATAATTTCACCCTTCAGTTCATTTGTAAATGGGTAAAGCAACTTCAGTATTCCTTGTTTGAAATGATTGGGGCCAGAGGTATTTCAGATTCGTGATTTTTTTTCAGAGTTTACTATATCTCAACATACATAAGGTAGGGGATAGAACACAAATCTAAACACGAAATCCATGTACGTTTCTCACACAGCCTGTTGGTGTAGTGTTTTGACTGTAGCCTGTTCAAGATCAGGGTGGAAATCTTCCACGTGTGGCATCATGTCGGGGTTCATGTCAGAACTTTGAGCGTTTGAAGTATCAGTTACAGATGCTGAGCTTGTAGCAGATACTAGCTCATCAAATTATCCTGAAGATGATACAACTCTATAACAGTTTTACCCCTCGATGCTTGGGCCAGTGGGTAGCCCGGTCCGCCTGGAATCCCGCACAAGAGGCGGCTCCTGACTCTGCAAGTTCCGGCCTCACCTGTCCGTCCGGCCAGCCTTCCCTAACTCACAATGCTGAGAGAGGACTTCTGAAACACGAATATCAAGCTAACTTAGAAACTGCATTAATGCATGGTAACTGGGGAAAGGGACGCTTTGATTGCTGGAAAACAGACTTGCACTGCAAGGCGCTCCCCTACCACCCCCCTTTTTCTGTCGGCCGCATTTAACCCGCTGGCTAAAAGGCGCAGCTCCTCTACGTCACCTTTCCTTTGAAGAAGTGGTCCGAAGCCCCGCCCCGTACGGAAAGCGCAGGGGTCGGGCGGAAGAGCCCGTTCGCTGGCTCCTTCTGCCAGACGTTAGAAATCGCCGACCCCGGTAGGAGCGATGCTGAAGGTGAGGCTCCCGGGGCGGCGAGGGGGACCTGCGGCGGGGTGGGGGCATGGCTGTGTCCCAGGGAGGGCAGCGACGTGCGGGGGCCACCGGGCCCCGCAGATCCTTTCAGCTTCGGCCGCCCTCGGGCTCAGGGCGCGGCCCGCGCTCCTACAGGCCTTCAGACCTGCACGTCCCTTCTGGAAGGTTCTGTGGTGCCCTCCTTCCGCCCCGACCGCCCGACCCGGCGACGCGCTCGCACGCACGCACGTACGTAGCACGTCCTGACGTCCCCCCTCCGGCCGCGGCGTGCGATGGATTGGGGGCGTGACCGTCGCTGCGGCACGTGACCTGGCCTGCCCCATCCCCAGTCCCTGCTGGAGTGGGCTGTGCACAGCCTGGTGCTGGTCAGGTGCTGCCCTTGTGCCCCCCTCTGCTTCCTGACTGTGAGGTTCCCCCCTGCCCCTCATCTGCCAAGAAGTACATTCCGTGGCATCAGACTTAAGAAATGTGTTTTCTTGTTGAGAAGCTACGGTTCCGACGATGTGTTCTGAAAGGCCTTTGGAGCAGGGGATAACCTGCAAAAGCAGCTGCTGTTTCTTGTGCCAGGCGCAGTGCTGTGGTGACTGAATCCCATTTCCTAGGACTTACGTTTCTAGGTCATAAGAGCCTTGTAAAGTTACCATTGTGCCGGGTGCTGTAAGGCAGAAACTGGCTTGTGGAAGTTTACACAAGAGGTTGAACTCTGCATGTGGGGTAGGATGAAGGGAGGTAAGGAAAGAATACCCTGGGAGGTACTGACCTGGAAGGGCATTTCCAGAAACCCCTCTGGCAGCGCAGGAAGGGGAGGGCGATGGGAGTGGTGAAAGTAAGGGGGGCTGAATGGGATTTGGGAGCCCAGCTGATGAGCGGTGGTGTTGCATGGGCTGTAGAAGTGCAGGCGGTGAAGTCCCGCAGGGCTGTGGATGGACCACAATGCTGGACCCTGAGAGAGAGCATTCTAGAAGAGCATGCTCACACACTGGAATCAGCCCAAGTCTCTGTGATGAGGTTTTAGCCCTGTGCATAAACACTTCAAAATGTTTCTCTGACCCCCCAGCCCTGCCCCAGATGGTTATTAAGTAATGTTAGTTTTGTAGCTGATAAATGTGCTGAAGGTATTGGCTTTTTAAAAAATTATTTTTATTTGCAGGGCAGATTAACAGGAAAGACAGGCTGGATTGGTGCAGATGGCACAGTTAGCAAGCAGAAGCAAAGACTTTGTGAAATGTGCTTGGAAATTGTTGGAATTTTTTTTTTAATTACAAAGTCAAATATATAGAGAGGAGGAGAGACAGAGAGGAAGATCTTCCGTCCAATCCTTCACTCCCCAAGTGACCGCAACAGCCAGTACTGTGCTGATCCGAAGCCGGGAACCAGGAATCTCTTCTGGGTCTCCCACATGGGTGCAGGGTCCCAAAGCTTTGGGCCGTCCTCATCTGCTTTCCCAGGCCACAAACAGGGAGCTGGATGGGAGGTGGAGCTGCCGGGATTAGAACCGGGGTCCACATGGGATCCCGGGGCGTTCAAGGCGAGGACTTTAGCCGCTAGGCCACGCTGCCGGGCCCAAAATTGTTGGAATTCTTAAGCATTAATAGGAATTGGCAAAAATCAATTTCACAGATATTTACTCTGCTAGAATTTTTATAAAATTTTGTTTTTAAATTGTCCATGTAATCATTTGAGAGGCAGAGAGAGAAATAAACAGAGCCTGTGTCTGCTTGTTCGGTTCCCAGATGCCTGTGGCAGCCAAAGCTGGCTGGGCCAGACCTGAGCCAAGGGCCAGCCATGCGGTCCACATCCTCCGTGTAGGGGGGAGGGACCCAGCACTGTAAGCTGTCACTGCCTCCCAGGGTGTGCCCAGGAGCTGGGCCTGCCATCCAGGCCCTGGGAGAGGAAGCATAGGTTTTTGTCCCTGCGCCCAGTCTGCCTGAGTTTGATCTACCCTTCTTGGGGAGAATGGGTCTCGACGTGCGCTCGTCAGTAGCAGCTGTAGTGAACATACAAGAAGGGTGATCGTCATCTCTTTGATCTGCAGTTGCAAAAAGCATTCGAGCATCTTGGCTTCCCCCAGAGTGCTACTCCTTGCCTGTTCTCTCCTTCCAGTTGTATCTACTTGAAGTACATGTGTAAACTGTCTTCCCAGAAGTTTCCTTACAAATATACTAGTATAGTGTGTAAAAGATGAAAAAAAAAAAAACGTATCAAGGAATGTAACTGTCCTTTGGAGCAGGAATCACAAGTTACTTTGCATTGGTATAAGAATGTTCATGGCAGTTTCACTCAAAAAAAGCCAAAATTAGGAAACTAGATTTAAAAACTGCAGCCAAGTTTACACACGGGGAAAGAGAAAGGACTACACTGATTCTATGAGTGAGTCACAGAAATCACGCTGTGATGTCTACAACCAAGAGCCCGTTCTTTCCGATTCTGTGTGGAACACATGTGATGGGAAAGACCAGCGCGTGCTTCCTAGTAAGAATGGAAGTAGCATTTGGAAAAGGCTTGGAGGAACTTTCTGGAGGCGTGGTGCTGTTCAATGTGTTGGCGGGAATTTTAGTTACAACTCTATATGTTTTTCACAACGAGTCAGGCCAGTGGTAGTGCTGAGTTGTTTATCTCACTGTAGGTAATTTTGCCTCAAAACAGTCATAAGCAATATTGAACTCTTGTTAGGGACACGTATTCTCAAGTGTTGGGAGATGGGGGATGCCGGTGTCTAGCTTGCTGAGAAATGCGTCAAAACCCAAGTAAAGGGGGATGGTCAGAGGAGGGGAAACGTGCACAGAGCAGGGAGGACTGGACACGTGCTCCCGGAGCTAGCACTTCTCCAGCCCATGCAACACCTCTTCCATCTCTGACAAGTCACACCTGTTGCAGTCCCTGCCTCAGCAGACTCTAGATGAGATGAATGGGTCACCCCTTCAGCTGGCACCTCGGAGTTGGCCACCTGTGTGCCTTGGAGGAGGAGACCTTATTTATGACAGAGAAGCAACTAAAAGATTCAGAGCTCCATTTACAAGTGCTTCAAATTCAGTCTTATAAGCGTGAACTACAGTATCACCAGGTGGGCCTGATGTCCAGCCTCTGGTGGCACCTGGCCTCTAGTGAGAGGGACCTCTGTACTTGGTGATGTTGGCAGTTGGCTGTGTGTCAGGGAGTCTGCTTCCTTCCTGACAGTCTTAGTTCTCCCAGTAGGTTCTCTGCTTCTGTAGAATCCCTTTTCTCACAGTAGGGTTCTTCAATTTCATATATCGTCAGAAATGTCAGCAGCAGCAGGTAAGTGTGCTGGAAGTTGGTGCGGTGTTAGGAATCACTGAGGGTTTTGGGAACTGTACGCCCCTGGGGAGGGCAGTTGCTTTTGGAGTTGGTGGATCCTCCGGGAACATAGTTACATGAAGCAGGATATGTGGAAAATGGACAAACTGAAGCACCATGCACATCCGGTTTTTTCCAACACCACTCGTGCTGGGGATGGTACTCCTGTGCATGTGGCTGGCCGGGGTCACCTAGCATCCACCTCCTGGCATGAACCCCGCTCAGCAGCACTTCCGTCACATTCACAGGTGACACGCCCTCCGCAGCCTCCCACATGCCCTGCCATGTGCCACCGGAACCAGCCTAGGAGAATGAATGAGTGTTAATGAGCTTCTCTCGCCACGTCCTTAGGATGGCTGCGCTTCTAAAACGGTTGATGCTACAAACTGCGAAGACAGAAAATCATTGCATTAGAAGATGCTTCGGTCAACCCCTGGTGACAGAGGCGGGGCCAACAACGTCGTGTCTGGTTGCTTCTGCCTCGAGACTGTCCTACCTCATTCACGCAAGAGCTTGTGGTACTGCTGAAGATACCCAGGAAGAGAGAAAAAAGACAAAAAGGAATGAAACTGACTTTAGTAACGTTGGAAGGAAAATAAAGGAGCGAATTATCCAAGTCCTTGATGAGGAGGGCAACGACCTGGGAAACATGCACCGGGCGGACGTCATTCGGCTCATGGATGAGCGAGAGCTGCGGCTGGTGAAGAGGGACGCGCAGGCAGAGCCCCCCAGGTACCAGCTTATGACGGGTCTCCAGATCCACCAGGAGCGCCTGCGGCTCCGCGAGATGGAAAAGGCTCTGCCCAAAGCTGGTAGGTTCTGGCTGTTCGCACCCAAATCCTTAACCACTGCGCATCAGCAATTCAGATGCTGTTTGTCCAGGTACCTGTGACAGGGAAGAAACGAGAAACCAGACAAGGACAAGATGCGTAGTGTCATTGCCGGTCCCACCATCTTTTCCTCTTTCCTCGTTTAGGGATTTCCATTGTTTTTTTTCCTTTGTCTCTTCCTTTAAACCTGTGAAAAGTGAGGGAGATGTAAGGGCAAGAAATCAGAACCACGGGCTCCTTCCCGTCGCCTCCTTGTGCCAAGGCTGAGCAGATCCGATGGGTGTGAGGACTCAGGGTTGAAAGCCCCTGTGCCACCACATGGGATGGAAGAAGCCCAAACCCTCCTTGCAGGATCCAAGGTCATCGGAACAGTAAACTTCCGTCAGGACTAGGGAGAGGAGCTTTCTCGGGTCCTCACTTAGTTCCAACTTTGGATCCCCACCCTATCTTGCAATGACCATCAGGGTCGCTCCAGAGCCCCCCACCCCAAAACACACACACATACACACACACACATGCATGCACACACAAATTGGAATAGACAGAGAACAACAAGGAGAGCTTGGAACCAGACAAGAAACAGTCAGCGAGGACTCACATATACCTTACTAGGTAGGACACAAAGATTAATTACCCCTCACTAAGGTATTGAAGATTTCTCTGTACACCCCTCCTAAAACTGTTCCGCACTTCAACTGTTGTTATAAGCCAGTTTAGACTATCCAAAAATCTGCCAAGTTCGGCAAAATTAAGCTTCAACACTATAAACTACTGAATACTAAAATGAAAATAGACACGAGACAGCTGAATAGTACGCTATAGGCATTTTAAGGTGTATAGCAACTGGTTCTGTGTATAAATTAAAATTGAAATGTCAATGAAGTAGTCACAGGATATGGTTAATAACTTGCATTTTTTAACATATTTGTTACTCAATACCATGTCAATTCCATAATGTTGCAAATTGATGTTGATGTTATGTTGTGGCTTTTAATTGATCGGGATGATATTCTGCTAGCTCTGCTTTCAGACCAGAGATGGTCTCCCCAAGAAACCATTGAATTTATGTGGACAATAAGATGCTGGACTCTATGCTTGCAATGAAAGAATCTTGACTGAATTTGAACTGTAATACTGCAACAAGGTGGAGGAATCCACCATGCCGGGGAGGGTAAGGGGAGGGGTTGGGGGAATCCTAGAGCCTATGAGATAGTTTCACATGATGCAATGTAATCAATAAAAAATAATATAACAACAACAACAACAAAAATGAAAGCCCCTGTCCCATCTGGGCCACTCACTCCAGCTCTCATTTGGTCAGTTATCTGGAAGCATTTACTAAGTTCTGAAACAATTCTGAGAGCATGTCTCATGCTCCAGTGTTTTGCTATGCGCAGTCTGGGTAGTAACGCTCATTGACGTATGTGGCCCATTGCCTGATGAGACACTTGTCGTTTAAGGGTCTAGAAGTCAGGAATTGGAAGTGAAGTGAAGCTGTTTGTTTGGAATCACAAAGTACTGCTCCTTAGGTTCCCCTATGAAAGCATTGCCTGGAAGGTGTGTGCCTTGAGTTTTCTGATACTGTATCTAAAGGATGTTGACCACAAAACAAGACTAAACAGGAGCATAAAATGAGTTGAAAACAGGGCTGGCATCATGGCTTAGCACGCTAATCCTCCACCTTGTTGCTGGAGTCCCATATAGTGCCAGTTTGTGTCCCAACTGCTCCACTTCTGATGCAGCCCCTTGTGTGTGGTCTGGGTAGGCAGTGGAGGATGGTCAAGTCCTTCGGACCCTGCACACTCATGGAAGAAGCTCAACTGTGGCTGCTGCGGTCATTTGGGGAAGGAACCAGCAGATGGAAAACGTTTGCTGTCTCTGCTCTCTGTAAGATCTGCCTTTCAAATAAAAACAAATGAATCTTTAAAAAAAAAAAAAAGTCTAACAGACTGGAGATAGTGAAAGTCTAAGTTGTTAAAGCCATCACTTTGTTCTGAAAGAGAACGAGAACCATGTCATCAAGAGTTCTAAAGAAGCAATAACTTTGTCTTTTAAAAATGTAAAAGTATGAAATAAAATACTCATCATCCAAAATAAACAAGCATTAACATTATCAAAAGAAGTTTGAAGAGTTATTTGAAAAGCAGAACAACAGAAAGAGGGAAAGAAAAAGGAGGAAAATCTTACTTCCACCGGTTCATTCCTCAGATGGCCTCAGTGGGCAGGGCTGGTTAGGGCTAAAGCCAGGAGCCCAGAGCTCCATCCTAGTCTCCCATACAGGTGCAGGAACCCAACTATTCAGGCCGCCTTCCACTGCTTACCCAGCCAGGAGCATTAGCAGGAAGCTGGACTGGAAGCAGGGCGACCAGGACTTGAACCAGAGCTCTAATACACGATGCTTGCGTTGTGACAGCTTAACTACTTCACCACAGATCCAGTCTGTTCAGATTTTTTTTTTAAGACTTATTTATTTTTATTGGAAAGGCGATTGGTTATACAGAGAAGAGGAGAGACAGAGAGGAAGATCTTCCATCAGATGGTTCATTCCCCAAGCAGCCACAACAGCTGGAGCTGAGCCAATTCAAAGCCAGGAGCCAGGAGCTTCTTCCAGGTCTCCTACGCAGGTGCAGGGTCCCAAGGCCTTAGGCTGTCCTTGACTGCTTTCCCAGGCTACAGGCAAGGAGCTGGATGGGGAGTGGGGCCACCAGGATTTCCATTTCTCCCACCTGAAGGGTATCCCTACTCATGCTGAATTTAGGGTGTGGATCCATATTCGCAAACGGCATACATAACAGTGACAGGCTTATTATTTTTAAGATCTGTCAATGCTGTAATTACCTTATGGCATTTCACCAAGAGACTCTCTGATTTGCTAATCCACCTCCAGGGACAGTGGGCACAGAGACACAGTCTGTCACGATTACAGACATTCTGTGCATGCGCCAGGTTCTGTAACCTATCAGCTCGTCGCCATCTTCAGCAGCACATGGAATTCCTGCTCTCCATCCTTAACCATGCTTTATACTGTCAGATTCTTACTTTTTGTCATACTAACAGGTCAGATACTAACATACTAACATGGCGTATTGTTTTGGAATGTTTTCTTTCCACTATTTGATGTTTTTGAGTTGCCTATTTATGTTCCTTTATTTTTTCTGAAATGATTTTTCTTTATGTATGTATGCTACAAAAATCTCGCCATATTTTCAGTACTCTTATTTGGCAGGTTTTAAAAAAAGTTACCTTTATGGTTTATTTCCCCAGTTTGAAAAAGCTTTGTTGGTCTGTGAAACTGAAGGCTGAGGCCTGGGAGAGCCCTGGCAGCAAACTTAAGATCTTGGGAAGTAGATAGTGGGTTGGGGGCGGAGTGTGGGGAAGAAGAGTTCAGGTTTCACAGCAAACTAGAAAAGGGTCCCAGCACCAAATCTGTTTCAAACTAGGACCAATCCTGACAAAAGAGCTGACTTTTTCTTCAAATATCGGACAACATGATTTGGACACAAAAAGTAAACAGATTCAGCAGTGGATCGAGAAAAAGTACCACGTTCAAATTACTGTAAAGAAAGGGAGAAATGCAGACAAGCCGGAAAACAAAATGGTAAGTGAGAGCAGGTATGCCATCGGCTTGTTCCCTGGGAAAACTTCAAGGCAGAACCAGTGACTGGCGCTCTGTCATCTAGTAAGAAAAATAGCTTTCCATTGCTTCTCAAAATGCAAGCACACTGCCTGTGCATTTTACTTTATGGTGTGTTTGCCAAAATGGAAACATCATGCATTCTAAGCTGTATACTAGTGTGTTTTACAAATTGAAGAGTGTCTAGCCTTTCCATGAAACACCGGCGACTGTGGGCTCATCTTGTCCCTTCTAAGTGCTCGTGAGCGTTACAGTCAGACTCTTCCAGAGGGTGCTTGGGTTTGCAATCCTAGGATGTCTAAGCTTGTAATTGGATAACGTCTCACTCACTCAAGGCAGCATTAGACCAGTGGTTATTAACACTGGGCTACAACAGAATCGTCTCAGCCTAGGCCTGCAGCCCAACCAATTCAGAATTTTTGGAGCCCAGGTCTCATAATCGCTCGCAGTGATTCTGTCAGCGTTAGGGGAGTCGGGGGTGCAGTAGGCTGATAGTTTGGGTGGAGGTGGGGATAAGGAGGTACTTTACTAAGGCTCAAACTTGGGAACTTTTTGCTTGTTCTGTAAGAGCATTCTGGGATGAAACGTAGCTCCTCTGTGCTGTGACAGTGGAGACATACGGCCAGAGCCTTTGATGTATTGGTAGAGTTCTATGACAGTACTGCACCGATTCCATGCAGGAGCGGATTAACTAGTTACTGAAGTGCGAGCAATTGAAGAATGCTATTTTTTTAAATTACTGATGTTAGAAAACATTGAAGACACAGATTTTGATTTTTAATTTTACTTGCAAGGCAGAGATGGCATGGGAAGGAAAGCAGGCTCCATCCACTGGTTCACTCCCCAAGTGCCTGCGGGGGTAAGCCTGAGCTGGGATTGCAGTCCTAGGCTCACCGGAGGGGGACAGGAATCCGGCTCCTAGAGCCGCCACCACTGCCCCCTAGAGTCTGCATCAGGAAGCTGGAATCAGGCTGAGCTTGGCTTCAGACCAAGTCACCACTATAGAATGCACACACCTATATTGCTAGGCTTAACACCCAACTTCCTGGACACTGACTTTAAATTAACCTTTGATTGCTTTCCTTTTTAGGAGGAGATATTTAATCAGATACTCCAGACAATGCCTGGAATCGCCACCTTCAAATCCAAGCCACAAACCATCAAGGGAGGAAAAGCTGTCATGTGTGTTCTTCGTCATTTGAGCAAAAAGGAAGAGAATGCACACAGAGAATCCCAAGGGTCCCAGAAAAGAGACAACAAAGAAGGAAGTAACAGGGACTCAGGCGATCCGCATCTGTGATTTTAATAAAGGAAAATATGCTTGTGAGACAAAACGAGCTGACATGGTATGCAGTCCTTTAAAGAAAGCAGGTGACCTTCAGGTGGGGGCCGGCGCCACGCGGGAGGAGAGCACGTGGTCTTCGGCAAGGTGCCGCAGCTCTCCGTCTCCCGTCAGCTGCTGCTCCTGCTTCCTCCTAGGGGGGATGTAGCCACTGAGCCGGGAGGCCAAGCTCCGTTTCTCACGAGGTCGTTTCACCTAGGGCAATGAGACGGAGAGCATGAGTTCAAAAGCAAATGTTCCTGGACGAATTTGATCATCGCAGTAGGTGTGGTCTAACAGACACAGCACACACACTCCTGTATGGGAAAATCTTCAGACTACGCAGACTCACACCGTGGGGTAAGCCCCAGATAGACAGTATCTGGCTCAGGGTAACCGGCTTTACAACTCAGCTCATCTGAGTACTCTGAACTTACTTTGAGCTTCCTCTTGTCAGGATCGTGCACAACAGCGTGCCGAGTGAGACTTTGCTACAATGGAGGAAAAGGGAAAGAGGTTGTATTTAAAAGTATCACCTTGGAGCTGACGTTGTGGCATAGCAAGTGAAACCTCTGCCTGCAACAACTGAGCTCCAGTTCAAGTCCCAGCTGCTCCACTTCTGAGCCAGCTCCCCGCTAATGTCTCTGGGAAAGAGGCAGCAGATGTCACAAGTCCCTGGGCGCCTGCACTCATGTGAAAGACCCAGAAGAAGCTCTGTGCTCCTGGCTTTGGCCTGGTCCAACTCCAGCTGTTGTGCAGCCAGCTGTTCGGCAGTGAGTGAAACAGCAGAAGGTTGATTCTATCTCTCCAATTTCTGTAACTCTGTCTTTCAAATAATAATAAATCTAAAAAAAAAATGCCTGCATCCCACATTGAAACAAAATCAATCACTCATACTAGGTATGTATTAATATGAAAACTCTGTTGAGTTTGCAGTCCTAAGCTATTAGCCCACCTTGTATTACATGCTGTTGAGGAATGTAACCCCACACAGACGCCTTCCTCCACTGAAGGGAAGGAAACCCTGGATCCAGTCACTCCCACCATCCTCCCCCTGACCCCGGCCTGTGGCCTCTTTCCTCAGCAAGGAGGAAGGAGGAGCGTATTGGGAGGGGCAGGGACCTCTTAGCAGAGCCCGAGTGGTGTTGGTGAACACCCAGCAGGGACCTGACCAACATCCTGCTGACCATCGGCAGGGAGCTCTGTGCACCGGCTACTGACGGCCTGGATTGAGCTGAGTAGACACCAGTTCCCTCTTTGTAACAGTTCCCAGGAAGAATGTAGAGTGACAGTGTCAACATCGTCGGCAGGGTGGTGTGCCCTCAGTTCCTTGCTGCCCTTCCCCAATTCAGGACCACAATACTCCACATGCTGCACACCTCTCGTCCACATCACAGATGCCAGACCCCACACCCAGGCTTTCTGCCCAGAGTGGCCCTGGGAGCTGCTGATCCAGGGCTGCCCTTGAGGTCCTCTGGCCTCAGCTAACCTACAGCCTGTGCAGGCTTTGGTGAACAGGAACCCTGGAGAAGCAAGGGTGGAAAGTGTGGGGGCCTGCCTCGTAGGCCTTCCTGTGTGCCAGCCCCTGAGCCAGCACCGTTATCCGGGCTGAGCAGGGCAGCCATTTACCTTCATGGCGAATGTTTTGCCACAGCCCTCGTGCTCACACACGAACGGACGCATTTCCTCGTGGAAGGAGAGGATGTGGCTCTGCAGGTTAAACACAGTGGTGTAGGTCCTGCCACAGCCTTCGCGCGGACAGCGACACACGGCCCTTTCCGGGGCATGAATTTTCATGTGCTGCTTAAGGTAATCTCTGCGCTTGAATGTCTTCTGGCAGACCTCACAGGTGATTTCCTCTGGTGGAGGAGACAGACATAGTTAGCCAGTTTCCCCGGCGATGACCCTGGAGGATGATCAGTACTGAAAAGCTAAGTAACACTCAATGCCTTACACCGTCTACCCATAATCACACAACAGGGAAGCCCTAAGCCTGCCCGTCACTGCGGCCACATCCTGCTCGAATCTTCGGGGTTCTGGTGGTACTCCCATGCTCCTCCTTGGCTTTCATGTGCCAGGGTGTGGGGTTCTTGGTAGCACGGGGCCTTTGGTAAGTGGACAAAATCATACAGACCAGTTTCCTTCCTTGTCCTCTCCTATGGAGGGCATGGAGTCCCAAACAGTCTCACAGGACACACCTGCCTCCCAGAGCCTTTGAAGCTGCCACATGCACACGACAGTGGCAGCTCTGAGACACCTGACGGGCAGCTGACAGAGCCAGCAGCACTTCACACACAGCCCCTTCCACCCTAAAGCACGCATACAAGAGCACCAACTGCCACAGGGACAGATGCACATCCCCAGCCAGGTGGTCTGCCTTGCCTTTATGGGCTTCTCTCATGTGCTTCAGGAGCTCTGTCCATGTTTTGGCCACAAAGGAACATCCCTTTTGGCATGTGTAACCTGTTTTAAAACAAACAAAAAGGGCGGTTGGTGCATTGCCCATGATGAGTACTCTGCAGAAACACCATCGTTAGAAAGCAAACTCCAAATTCCTAGGTTACTCCCCCCCCACCTCTTCTAAGATGCTGGTCTGCGCCTCTCAGGAGGTGGGATGAAAATAGGGCCTGTTTCCTGTGACAGGAAGCCAAGCAGTGTTGCAGCAAGATGCTCCGCACTGGGCTGCAGCCCAGCTGCCTACCACGCAGGAAGCATTTCCGCTAGTGCCTGTGTGGGCACCCTGCTGCTTCAGTGCCACCTGGAGGCACACACACCCTCCCAGGGCCAGTGCATGCCCCTGCACCCTCACTGGACCTGGCCTCAGGTCCTTTGTCCCAGGCAGGCATCCAGCCTCCTACCCCGGTACTTAAGGCGCCCACCCTTCACCTCTTCTCGTCTCATTATCTTCTATGATTCATATTGAAAATAAAAGTGTACAGCTAGGGAAGAAAGAACTAGAAAAACCCAGGGGGAAAACACTGAAAAAAACATGCTCTGGAATTTTTTTATTCCTAGAGAAAACCGCACAAAAATGGATGCAGGACAAAGCAGTCAGTATAACAGCCAGGTTGAGGCTGACCCAGCAGAAACTAAAAAGAATGGGGCTGCTGCCCATTCTCACCCATCTGGTTGTTAGAAAACCAAATTCATAAATTCAAAGGGGCTGGGAAGTAAGGATACAGACTGCAAAAAACTTCTCAGAAAACAGGCCAAAGCAATCAAGTGTTTCATTTTTAAGTTACATTTGTTTACTCCAGAAATTCAGAATATTATCCAAGACTTCTGAATGGCCAAAAAGGGAAACAACAGTACATCTGGTAAATAGAAGAGGTTCAAAACATGAAAAATAAGAAGGGGGAAAAAAATCTGCCAGGCTGTGGCTGGGGCAGTGACAGTGGCTCAGTGTAAAGGCCAGCACGGCAGGGGCACACGAGCGGAGACATGGTCACTGCCTCTTTGATAAGCAGGACGGTGTCCCCTCGCCCACTGAGCCGTATCCGCGCTAAGTGTGACCACAGAGCAGACCAGAAGCGTTCAGCCCATCCTGCAGTGAGTGCACCACTGAGGTGAGCAGGGGCCTCTACGTACCCTCGTGGACCTTGGCGTGCCGTTTCAGCCTGCTGGGTGAGGCGAAGCACTTCCCACATCCTTCCTGGGGGCACCTGCGTTAGCAGCACAGGAAGTATCAGTCCGTTTTCATGGAGGATTCTGCTTTAAGGTCAATTCTGCTTGTTCTGTTTGCCTCACTACAGTCCTCCTCCCCCTAACCAAACCAGCCACAGAAAAGTAAGAATTACAGTGCAGAGCTGATCACAGGAGGGATTCAAGTTACACGATCCAGCCTTAGGGCAAAGCAAACTGAGAGAAAAAGTCACATTACTTTTTTTGTTGCTGTGGCTGCTTATGTGACAAATTGAACTCAGGTTCTGCTTTTGCTAACTGCAAATACTGTGGCGCTCACAGCTACAAAGGAAGTTGTCTGAGGTAGCTCAGATAACCTGAGCCATCCAGGATCGTTCGTATCCGGTTGTCTGATGGTGCTGCAAGGGGCTTGTGTGATGAGAAGACACAGCAGCCGACGTGGCGGCCTAGCGTGAGTGGACAAAGCACACGCCACCTCTGTACTCAGGACAGCAGTGCCCCACGAGGCAGGCGCTGTCCCTGCGCAGCTCCCAGGCCAAGGAGGGCACAGCTGGAGCCTCACAGGTCTGTTCCCATGTGTTCCAACTCTCACCCATGCCTCAGAAACTGCAGTTTTGCTCTCCAGAAAAATGTCCCCATAGGGAAACTTGACACAACAGAGCCAGTTCTGACAGATAGTGGACTCATGTCCACCTTTGCACGGAACCCCAGCTGCAACAAATGACCTTGAAGCACTGGAGATAGTTTTGGAAAACCAAAGCAAAAGCACGCTTTTCAACTCTCCCCCTGCAGACACGGACATACACAGCTCTCTCTCACAGAGAAGAAACTCAGGATGGGAAGCCGCTCTGGAGCCCTTGTTCCCAAGCCTGCTTTTTGGTCTCATGCCTGGCGCTGAGGGCGTCTTGCACTGCGCACGGCACTGACCTGAAGGGCGGCTCGTTGGTGTGCTGGCTCTGATGCGTCTTCAGCTGCTGGTGTTTCCTGAAGCTCTTCTGACAGCCCTCAAAAGTGCACTGTGGACGGAGCGTCTGTTAGCCTTGACGAAGGACCCTCTCAAAGAAAACCATTTTGGAAATTAAGGCATTCCCACTTGCACCTAGTCACTTGCACTTAGTCACTTTATGTCAAGAAGTTTTTACATGGGAGAAAGCAGAAATGGCTCAGCTGGGGGACACTTTGACACATGCCATGTCTGCCTGTATGACTGGGGTACTGGGGTCAGTCTACATGCAGACCCACCGGACAGGCCAAACTGATCGATGAACACTTGAGAGGCATAAGCAGGAAGTGTGAAAACATTCAGAAGGTTTCAGCATGTGCATTCGTCATACTTACTACATACTGCTTTTGCTGGTTTTCATGCTTGCGTTCAAGATGTTTCTTCAAGTTAGACTTGGTGTTGAATTTCTGATCACAGCCACTCTCTGTACAACTGTGAAAAATCGTATCAACAATGAACAGAGGTCTCCACATACATGATTCTCCCACCTTACAAACGCTCACGGTGCTAAAGAGCATCAGACAGCCTTTGGCGAATGCCCCTTGCTTCTCCAGCTGGAAGAGACTCCGCTACCATGAGACGCCTCCTCTTGCTGGCCCTTAGTACAGCATGAGACCACAGATAGCCTGCACCCACTGGGCAGAGAGCGAACCCACTTATCCCCAGCCTCAGTCTGGATTCTGATAACCTTCACCTCACTCTAAACTACCTTTCTAGAAAGACCTCAATCTGCCACAGCCTAGCATCATAGGTAAAACAGCTTCTCAGAGCAGAGGTACAAACCCCAGGCCCTCTGGCACACTGCCCGCCGTTCCCTGGCATCTCAGCCATAAATCACCTCAGCCTTTGGTCAGCTTTTGTGTATGTGTGTGTGTAACGGGAGGAAGGAGCAATAGCACAAGTGCCCCTTTTGGGTTGAGTCTTTATAAGCTGAGGGATGAAGCAGGTATTCCTGAGGAACCGTGGGGTTCCCGGGACCAGACAGAAAGACAGAGTATAAGTCCCTGTGCCAGTGGGGTGTATGGCATGGAAGCACACAGGAAGGTGCGGCAGCAGAGACCCCCAGGAGACCCTCAACTCAGGGACACAACCCTGAGTGGCGGCTGGGCAGGTGGCCAACAGAAAGGCCCACACCCAGCCTCCTCCTGAGGCTGGGAACAGACACATGGCTACGACCAGCCCACGCTGCACAACCTCTACGTGGAGTCTAAAGATGCAGGCCAGCTGGCTGCCCTCGTCTCCTTGCTGCCAGCTGCAATGCTGATGGAACAGCTGGTGCTCCAACTGGCATCCTGGGATGGTGAGGTGGAAGCCCCAAGATGAGGACAGCAAAGGAGCCAGCCAGGCGCAGCCCAGCTCCCTGTGACCACCCTCTACCCCACAGTTCTGTAATGGCTGTGCAAGAGAAAACGCGTCCATCTTCCTTAAGCCCCTCGTCCACTGGCTTTCCTGGCTTCCTGGACTACCGCTCACTGGCCAGCACCGCTCGGCTCTCCCCAGGGTTTTTTAAATCCAGAGGCACAAAAAGGGACTTGGTTCTAGCTTTCGCTCCCGTCCCTTCTTCTCCCCTTACCACTCCCCCATCAGACGACATTTTTAGTGGCTGGGTTTTTTTTTTTGTTTGTTTGTTTGTTTTTAATACAAAGAGGAACAAATACAAACTGAATTCCTTCCTGCCATTTTGCTTTTACTTTGTCACCTACAGACCTCCTTAGAGGTCCCCCAGCCCCTCAATCGCTCATTGACTGCTCTGGCCATTTCAAGGGTTCCCAGACCCTCTTTCTAGCTGTCTGGCGTCCCACTGTGCTGATCCACTCTACCATGTCCCCGCTGTGATGAGCAAGACATGAGTCCATGGTTTTACCACCTTTGCCAGTGCTGCACATACACTGCAATGCAAGCGTCGTGCACCTGTAAAAACAAGCGAAGCTTCTAGGACCGGGCAAGGCCACAGCCCAGCCCTACTTGCAAATCTCTCCAGCTACTTCAGATTGCTCTAGTCGAACAGTATTTGGCAATGAAGCTTCAGTTAGCGTAGCTGATTGTGACAACACACTGTGCTTGAACGGGGACCGAGACCAAGACATCCGCCACCCGAGCTACTCTTGGCCATTCTCACCAGCTGACAACATGGGGACTGGGCTGACTCCTGTGCCAAGCGGCTTTCCACCAGGGAAAACAGTAGAGTGTGTGCCCTGGCGAGACCTGGGGGACCTCACATTCATTATTATCATAAAAGAGAATTTCCTTCTAGTCACTAGGAAACCAGTCACTACTTAAAGCATTACCTCATGGAACAAAATGCGATAGCTAATCCTGACGTCTGAGCTGCCCACTGTGGAGCCGCATGCCCAGTGCAGAGCCGCATGCTCCGCAAAGAAACACTGAATTCAACTGTACATTTTTTTTTTTTCAGCCTTGCTTTCTCATTTACAACCTCAAGAGAAACTTCACACTGTTCATGTCCACTCTTCTTGCCAGGCCTGTGTGCCACAGTCAGCCACTCCCAAGGCTGACACAGCCCCCTACTTACACAAACGGCTTTTCTCCAGTATGAACCAGGGCATGACGACTCAGGTGGTAGTCTCTGATGAAGGCCTTGCCACATCCCTCATGGTCACAGACAAAGGGTCTCTAGCAAGAAGAAAACAAACAAAAAAACACACATGTCAGTCTTACCCTGGATTATCAAGAATGGCAGCACTGTCTGAAAGCCTAAAGTGCCTGCCGGAGCAGGAGACTCCCTCTGCAGGGACGGCTCCCATCCAGCAGGTGCACAGAGCCCCTGTGAACCACCACACCCGGACAAGCTACAGTTTTCCTGTGGAAACGCCCTAAAGTCCCCCAAAGTCACAGCAGGTGATTTTGGCTGTATGGACAGACTTCATAGCAAAAACACAGCATTGCTAACCAGGCACCAGCCTTCTGCATCAATACCTTCTTATGCCTTTGCGACACAGTACAATCTCAGGGAAGCCAGGGCAGACAAAAGGCAGAGTGCTGGCTCACCCTGGACAGGCCCACCGTCTATGCTACCAAAAGGCCAGGCATGGCCCCAGCAAAAGGTGTCCCACTTAGCAAAGCCCTGGGGGCCACAGCCAACAGCTCTCTGCCCTGTGTAACCACCACTTGGGGTCCAGGAGTTGGGAGGGGAGGAGATTCGGTTCTGAACAGAACAGCTCTCCCAGGTCACCAGCTTTTATGTCTCTGAGCATAGACAGTATGCCAGTCATGTCTGGTGCAGATGGTCCCCAGCCAGACACCAAGCACACAGACTGACAGAGAGTGAGCTGCTATTGAGGCGGGGCGGTGGGGAGACCTTGCACAGCTCCAATCAGGGTACAGGTTGAGGAAACACCTGTCAAATGTGGGCGCACCAACAGCACCTCCAAGTTCCCAGACCTGCATGCAGGAAGCTGACAGAGCATAGCCAGAATACAGCACACAGGTCTAAGAGGGGAGGGAAGCTCTGACCAGGTGTGCTGGTCTCACAGAGCCCAGGAATCGGGCAATACAATGGGTGAGAGAAACAGGGGCACGCAGCAGAGCCTGCAGGGTGTCCTGAGCAAAGTCAGCTGTTGGCAGGAGAGAGTTGGGCAGGGTGGGTAAAGCAGAAGGCACAAAAGACAGGCAAGAAACGGAACCTGTGAGACCAGAGCTAGAGGGTCCCAGGAGCAAGCGGTCAGCCTTCAAATACGCAGAGGATACCAATGGAGCCCACACACACCGGAAGGGGGATGGCCCACTTCCTGGAACAGGTGCAAGCAGCCAAGGCAGGCCATGGCTTTAGAAAGGAAGGCCTTTCAGGTGAGGCCAAACACCAGGAAGCTAGTTAAACTGCCCGTGTCTGGGGCCTTGTTCTCCCTGTAACATCACCTACCACCCTCCAAATGTTTGCCCTGTCCTCAGAATAACATCCAAACCACCCTGAGCTGGAAGTGACTTCAGCTGCGGCCTCCCCCTCCAGGTCCCCGGACCTGCTAAGACCTAATCTTGCCTGGGTTGTTGGCGGCTATCAATGGCACTAAGTCAATGCAAGATCTCATACACGTGTACAACCCTTGGTCCCAGAGAGTGACCCTCCGGAGCCGCGACAGCAGGCCAGCTCTGAGCTAGGTGTGTGACAGGATACAGGTTTACCGCCCGGTTACAGGTACGGGGCGGTGCCTGAGTGTCCAGATCACAGAAACAGGCAGCAGTTGTTCTCCACGCCCCCAGCCCGCGGGGGCGGCTCCAGAACCAAGGCCCTAGGACATTCTTAGGCACTTCCCCAGCTCCTTCCAAAACTTCAGGCCAGGATGCCAACGTGACCACGTGTCACAACAGCGGAGCTTCCTGCAACCCTGTGCCCGGGGCTGGACGGCGGTGGCCGCCGCCCCCTCCGCCTGCAGCCCGGTTACCTCCCCCGTGTGCTTGCACAGGTGCGCATCTAGCTTCCAGGCCTTGTTGTAACTGGCACTGCAGTCGGGGAAGGAGCAGATGAACCTCCTGCTAGGGGATGCAGCGGGGAGCGGCGCTACAGTCTCGCCGACCGCCACGAACGCGTCGGCGATGGTCAGGGACGACACGGCCTCCGCGACCGAGACCGGCGGCTCCAGGGCGCCGCGGGGCGTGCAGGACCACGCGCCACAGACCCGCGCGCGCGACCCCCGACGCTTCCGGGAGCGCGGCCCTAGGCGAGCGCGCATGCTCAGACTCCCCCTTCCCCGCCGCGGCAGCGGCTGAACCGCGCATGCGCCTGGTGGCCACTCCGGAGCGCGCGTCTCTGGCTTCCCTATCAGGCTCTGAGGGGCAGCTTGCTACAAAGTGCATTCAGGTGTGGTGACCATCGTGGTCCATCCGTCCTGTGGATAGTCCTGACGTGCGTCACGTAAACCAGCCGGTTCTTGGCACGTGATCCCAGTCCCAGGCGCCGCAGTGTGCGTCCTCTTCCATTTTCTTGCTTGCCAGGCTTGACCACTTCAGAATCACTGGTGGAGGTGTTTGTTTTCACATTCCCAACGGCCGTGTCCCACCTGCACCAAGAAAGCCACAGTTTCCCGAGGAGTGGGAAAAACACCCAGGTGAGGCCGGGAGCCTCATTGAGACAGGAAAATTCCCCAGGTAATTTTGGAAGCAGGGATGAAAGGGGTGGGTGGACGGGCGGCATGGTTGAAAGGCATCCTTGCCCTGAGAGCAACGCTCTTCTGATTGGCTGGCCAGGTAGGTTTTTACGTCGTGATGACAGCCCCATCTGCATTTGAGGTACAGGTGCTTATGTTATCTGAATTTAGTCCAAGTTCTGTCTCTCCCCACCCTAACAGCCCCCCCCCCCCCCACACACAGATGAAGCATCTAAAACAAAGACCCAAATACAGGGCACAAGTGAGGGCAGGATTCACTTACGGGGGGCGGGGGGTGAATGCGCCTTCCCAGGTGAGTGCAGACCTGTGAGGACACACACAGGCTGCTCACAGCAGAACAGCCCCCTTTGGGGGTCGGGGCGGGGTTCCTGCGACTTGCATGGCACCGCTACCTGAACTTTAACTTCCATGTGACCATAATAGTGTCTCCACCTTTGCTAGCCCTGAACGAGACCCAAGTACATCAAAGTGAGTGTCCTGGAGTGACACCTCAGGGGTGGGGTTACACACACAGCAACAGGATCTTCACCTCTCCCAACCTAGTTTTCCTGTGTCTCCCGTTACAATTGCTCAGCAGTGCAGTAGGGAAGACAAGCCAGGACTGCCAGTCCCAGGCTGGGCTCCTTGTCCCGGAAGCGGGAATGATGAGAACACGTTCCCCATAGTGGGGGTTCCTCTGGGAATGGGACTGAGGAAGAGGGCCTGTGACGGGGTCCGTCTGGTGGTTTTTGCCTTTGCTGCTGCAGCTGCTCTCTGAGGCAGCAGTCGACACTCAGTTGTCCTTGGACTCCGAGGCTCTGGTTTCCCCTGCTGGGACCACTGCTTCCTGAGCATGGCTGGAGTGCAAGGGGAATCTGGGACCCTTCTCTCTCTCCGCGCTGTTCAACCACATCAGCACTTGACTGTCCCCCTTGTCACCTGACTCTGGATTCTAATTCTAAGCTTACTGTCAGATCTTGGGAAAGGGTCTTCAAACCATTTCTGAGTCAAGCAGAAGCTGTAAAGATTTGTGGATTTATTTTGAAAGAGTTACAAAGACAGGGAGAGGCACATCTTCCATCCACTGGGAGGCTCGCCGGGTGGTCTGATCTCACTCCAGGTCTTCACAGTCAGAGTAACTGAAAAGATTACTCTGTGTTCTTCCTCTTCACTGATTCTGTTGTTGTCATCATCATTGAAATGGAAGCTTACACAAAAATAGAGCAAACCGCGCAAAGAACTCCTTTGGATCTGTCACCCAGATCCAGTTTCATCTCATTTCCTCTATTCTCAGTCTGAGATGCACAACCCCTCAAACTCGGCCTGTGCAAAGCTGCACCTCCCAGTGTTCCAGGATCTTAGCACTGGAGTGCTGTGTTCTCCCCCAGCCCCTCTCCATCCACCCAGTTACCTAAACCAGGGTTTCCTCCCTCGCTCGCCCCTGCATCTGTTTCATTTTTTGTGTGTTTGTTGGTGCTTCATTACTACAATGCAATGCCTGAGACTAGTTACATAAGAAAGAGAAGCTTTTATATCTTGCACTGTTGGAAGCTGAGCTGACATGAGGGAAAGCAGACTCTGGCGAAGGTCCCAGAACAGGCAGTAGTCGTGAAGCCTGTGCAGAGGAAGGAACCCCAGGGAAGCAGAGTGACTGTGCCCGAACTTGGGCTTCTAAAGACCGTTTCATAATCCTGTGGCAGTCAGCATTGCAGCTGAGAAAGCAGTGGGCGGTGGCCTAAGTGCTTGGACCCCCACCACCCAGGATGGAGCTCCTGGTTTTGGTATGACCCAGTTCTGGCTGTTGTAGCTGTTGTAGTTCACTCCCTAGAGTGAACCAGCAGATGGAAGAGCTTTCTTTTTTACCCAGCCTTTCAAATAAATAAAATAATGAAGTAAATCTTTAAAAACAGTGAAAACAACCAACTACCTTCTGCGGGTATACTTGTAATGGCCCAAGGAGCTCGTGCTAGGCATGCTCCTACCAGCTCTCCATGGCACCTACCTGGGGACCAGACCTTAAACACATGGGCCTTGGAGGATCTCAGCATCCAAACAATATGAAAACAGTGGCATCCATCCCACCATTGTCACCAGTTCATATCATTATCATCAAAATACTGGAGGGGCCTATCTTCATGTTTCGGCTCTGGGAGTTACTTAGTTCTGAAAGTTCCCAGCCTGTAATTGGATGGGCTCTGGTGATGGTGTTCCTGCTGGCGGAGTCCTGAGGCGCCATGGGATGTCTCATGCCTGAGGCAGAGAGCACATGTGTCAGTCTGTGTGTCTGTTCTATTTCTTTATGGAGGATTCAGACCTGGGAGCTCCATGCCAATGACCTAATCGACCCTTACCACTTTCCAAAGGCCCCACCTTTATGCACTGTAACTCGATTACATTTCCATTCTCTTATTACCAAGGAATGACTTTGAGATTTAAATTCCTGAATGAGTTCAGGGATCAAATCTTATTCAAACTGTAGCAGTCCGTTACTGTTTATTTCTTATCCCCCATCTATCTTCAGGTGCAGCCAAGGAAGGCTCTGATCCTCCAGTGCCTGTGGTCAGCAGGGAATACATCAGAGGAGTGTCCAGCAACCATGTAGAGACTGCACAGAGGCTAGGTTTTTCCCAGTTCTATGAGACCATGGAACCTTCTCAGTACTGGCACGACCATTACGCAGTGCTGAGTATAGTACTCAGAAACCCATGCTAACTTTCTTCCCAACTACCACTTAGGGAAAACTACAGAAGGAAGTTAGTTTTATTAAACGGAAATCCAAAATCCCTTCCAAGGCTAACCTTCTATGACTGATAGGAAACAGGCAGATGGTCAGACCTTTTCATGAATTGGTGCTTGGCAAAATCAATGTGATGCTTCCAGCCCTCTGAAGACAGAGGGAGATGCTATTATGGATGGAAATGCAAATTTACCTCCGTGGAAGATAATTTGACAGTTTCTTATAAACTAAACAGACCAAGGACTGAAGTGAATTAAGCCTACGCCTGCGGCACCAGCATCCCATCTGGGTGTTTGTTGGAGTCCCAGCTGCTCCACTGCCAATCCAGCTCCCTGCTAATGTTCTTGGGAAGGCTGCAAAAGAGCACCAGAACCCAAGTTCTTGGGCCCTTGCATTCATGTGGGAGACCTGGAAGAAACTCCAGGATTGTGGCTTCAGACTGGCCCAGCTCTGGCCATCTGGGGAGTGAACCAGCAGATGGACGATCTCTCTGTCTCTCCTTCTCTCTGTAAAAATAAAAATAAACAAATAAAACTAAATATACTACTACTATGTGATGTAATAATCACAGTATTTGACATTTACAAAAACAAGTAGTGTCAGTCAGTACTCCATAAACATAGCGCTATTATATGAAAAGTTACAATAAGATCATAAAGGCTTTATCTATTTACAAGCCTACACATGAATGTTTATAGTGAGTCTGTTCATAAGTGAAAATGACAAAGATGTTCTTCAGTAGGTAAGTGGATAAACTGTGATATATAAGAGAAGAAAAGGAAAGAGGAAGAGAATGATACTTTGTTTTGAGCCAGAGCTTGACAGGCTAAATATGGTGAGAACGGAAGAAAAGATGGGCAGGAGAACTGGGAGGGAAAGGGCTGAGTTAGAAGATGGACCTGCAGCCCTTACTGCCATCAGAGTAAAGTACCTGGCTGGAGGGAGTGAGCACAGAGCCAGAAAGAAGGGGCTAAGTCATGGATATTTGAGGCTTTAGGCGAAAAATGACAGTTCAGCAGTAGTGTTGGTGGGAAGGTGGGCAGAACTGACTTTGAACCCTGGTTCTACCAGTTACTTCTTGACTTCGAGCCACTTCTCCCAATCTCTCTGAAATAAGTTTTTTTTTTTTCTTGAACAACGGAGATTATCGTATATTCCACACAATTGTGAGAATCATATGGGTGAGTTTCTCTCTGGTTTACACAAGGCCCAGAACACAGTAAACAGAACACGATGACCTGTTTGTGATTAGGTCACAGATTGGGGCCTCCATCTTACTAGCCGACTTGCCCCTTTGCCTGTCCTGACTTGCACACTTTGATGAAACAGCTGCTTTAGAGAGGACGATGTGGAAAAGATCGGAGGGTGACCTCGAAAAAGAGCTCCCCAAGGATAGCAGGCCTCAGACAGCAGCCCTCCGGGAAGTGAAGCAGCTGACGGCTACCTGGGTTGAGATACAGACCATGCCCCCCGCCCCGTCAGCCCTTCAGACAAAACCCTAACCTGGATTGACTCCTCTGCGGCTGGGAAAGATCCTAAAGCAGAGAAATCAGCTAAGCTACGTAGATTCCTGGCTCACCAAGGCTGAGATCAAGTGTGTTGGTTTTGAGCCCACGCACTTGGGGGGTGTTTGTTGTGTAAGAGTAATAGAATGTCAGTCTTTGACTCTGCAAAATAATTCTAGGTCGGCTGGTTCTTAACTCACCAGAGGGAGAAAGCGCTTGCAAAAAGGGAGTTCATGGCATGAGGGAGGAACCAATGACACAGAATCCAGCATTTTACATGTCTCTTCTTGTTGATGTATTTATTTATCTGAAAGGTAGAGTAACAGAGAGAGAGAGAGAATCTT